TAAAAACCTTGGATTTTAAATGTGATACAGAAACCAAAAGTATCTGAGTGTATCTTCATCCTGATGACTCTTCTAAACACAGGACCAACCAGGTCAGTATAGGAAGGCAGTAGAATATATTCTCAGTGGTTCACTCCAGAGTAGTTTATTCCAATGAAGACATCCAAACCACAATAGCTAACTTTCTAGATTATTTGATGAACAGTTAGTAACCATCACAGTTAGATTTGCCATTCTGCCATCACTAGCACACTGTGCTGTCATTGATGAGTGGATATCATACAAAGCAAAGGCCTATCAGATCTTCTATTCATTTGGATTTCACCAGGCCAGGTTGGCACAGTGGACCATTGACCAGTTGAACTTTTCAGGGGAATTAACCTGGCTGAACAAGACACCAATTGAACTGGTCTCAAGAGCTTATTTAAGTCACTGATCATATAAGTCCTGCCTTCACATTACTTAGGCAGTCAGCTGACAAAATCCAGAATACATTTTTTGATGGATCCATCTTGCAGTTCCAATATTATGGATCAATATTGCTCATGACGTCATCCACTTGCAAAGACATCGTTGACTTACCTGTCATTTAAGACTGCTTCCTCATTGGCATTAATGATGGCAGTCAGAATAAGTGAAATATATGCATTTTCAGTTTACATGAATGATACAGAAACCAAAAGTATAAATTTGGAAGGGCTCATTTATTAAAAATAGGATATAAATTAGAAAACGTTTTTCACTAATTATATTTTTAAAAGCAAATTACTATTTGCATATAGATGTCTAAATTTTGAAACAGAATTTGGCATCTTTTCATCATAGCACAGTAGGACCAACTTCATGAAATCAAGCAGTGATATCTTGTTCCGGATAAGGGTTAATGGTCAGTTAGCTATTAAAACTTGCATGTGAATGTGCAAGAATTTCTTTGTCGCCATAAGCTTATTGGTATCATTACCACGTAAATACATTTGGTGTTGGGTTTGCAGCAGTACCAGAACTTACTGGCTACAGTGAGGGGGCATCTCAGAGTCGTAATCTACAGTCATATTACATCCGAAAAATCAGAGGGCAAAGTCATTTTCGCTTTCATAACAGAAGAAGGTGAAGTTTACGCTTCACAGGCGACTTTTTCGCCCACTTCATCTTGTATCGTGATCCCTGGAACTTATTCCTCGATGTGTAGAACAAATAATCCACTTAATCCAGAAAGAAAGGGTCTCTGCTGTTTTGTCATCCAGTCCATGGATGGTAAAAAAAAAGTGTTATCACCCTTGACGCAACAGGTGATATCCTATACTTCAAAGCTCATACTCAGTCTTGAGTTAAAGTGTCCAGGGTAGACAGTGATTTCATTACAAAAGTCTGGTCACCCATGGATGGGAGCCTGTTCTTGGCAATGAAGGAGTGAACCTGACCCATCTTGTCAGAACTGCAAATGTAATTCATGTAAATGGATAGAGATTGGAGTCCACATTCTTCAGTGTTTCCTTCAAGATCTTTCATCCCAAAGGGCTCAACTCGAACTGGTGGGACCTGCAGCCATGGTGCAAGAGATTATCAGCTGCTCTCCAAGAGATGGAGTCTTCTCCAGTCAGGTTACCTAGAAGTTGTCTTATATATTTTAGTAGACCAGAGATGGCATTTCCAGGCAAAGGGGAAGTACCATCCTACACCTTTTACCTATTCTCCTAAGGTATTATGATTTGATAATAAAGAAGATACTCATCTATTTGTAGTAAAATTTGTTTCTTCACAGATACTTACCCATTCATAATAACCATAATACATATACACCCTCCCAGTCTCCCCTCAGTTGCACCATATAGAGAGCATGCCTTACACTCCAGCAGTAACTGAGATATTCTTGGGATTTGGATCCAACCCCCCATTTTAAGTGGAAATCTATCTGTTCAACCACCACCTAGGTGGGCAGATAAATTATAGCAGGGAGGGCTGAATATGTGAGGTAGTAGTTCTCCTAATGTATTACGATTAGGTAAGTATTTATGAAGAAACATTTTACTAAAATAAAAATTAGTTTCTATTTTTGTATAAGTTGAACCTTATTAAAGCAGTACTGTGGATGCCAAAAACATGCTGCAAATGATGCAGCAAGATATTGTAGTCAGTCATATCAAAGGCTACAGGAATGACAAGGAGTGTGAGAACCAAAATCTTGCCCTCATATTTGCAACCTTTAGGAGGGCAGTTTCAGCGCTGTGAAAAAGGTGATAAGCCAACTTGAAATTGATTATGTATATTTTATTAATATGTTATATGATGTAGAACTTAACTTTTTCTGACTTTTGACATGGATGAGAGTTTAGAAACAGGGCAGTAGTTTTTCAAGTTGTTGGCATGAAGTGTTTTCTTTTTCAATAACAGTTTTTAAAAGTGTTGGAAAAACACCAGTAGAAAGAGAAGTAATTATGACATCAATCAGAGCAGACAGTATAGCATCTAAACACTAAAATAGCATTAATGTAGAAAATAAATCCTTATGGATTTGGTGGCAATACAAGTTTGCAGAAGCAGTCTTCAATGGAAATTACTGAAAAACTTGCCCTCAGTTTGACTAAATTGTGCAAAATTTCTCCATGTATTGAATTCTTACATTATAGTAGTATAGCTGCTGTTTCATTAGTGGAAACCTTATCACCCACCTCCCACAAGATGAAAAAAAAATAATATAGCCATCTATCCAGTATGATTTCTTGTTGTTACTGAATGGAAATGGTGCCATGGAACCCATATTGAAATTTGTTTATTTGTTATTACTGCAAAATGGAAAGTCATATCAGGATAGAGTTTCTGTCAGAAGATGTCTTCTGACCTCTTGTGCAAATGTGTCACTTTGAAATCCAATGTGTCCACCACAGCAGCTAATTTAAAAATCTTTGTTATCACTGAAAAATATCAGAGATGGCTACAAATCTTGAATTACTAGAAAATCTTTTCAGTCACTGGAGTGTCTGTCATTGAATAAGTCCCTTTGAAGACATTTAACAAATTTCAAATTAACCTTTAGAAACGTAATAATAACAGTTATTCAAAAGTTAATGAAAAATTACCATCAGGAGAAACAAGAAAATACACTACAATTGCTGTTATTTATATAGCTATAAGTATGATAGTACATCTAACAACTACTTTGTAGCAAATTTTGTAAAAGGATTAAAAAAAATGGAGGAGAAACAAGTGCTGGTGATAGTAATGATACAGGTAATAAACATGCATTTATTGACATATAAAAAAGTATAAAAGTATTGCTCGAGGAGCTAAAATGGCAAGGGTATCATTATATGGTATTATTGTTGTTGTAACAAGCTGGCATGTTACACTAACTGGAAAAGTTATTTCTTTATTAGCTGATAATTCCATTTTGCTGATTCAGTTCTTGCATTCATTAACTTGCTCTTTGCAATTGCTGAAAAAGGGCTTATAATTATTAACAAAGGTACTAAAAGGATAATGAACCTTTGAAAGGAATAGAGAAAAATATTTTCTAAATTGTAAATTACAAAAGTGCCTGCTCCCATACTCATAACAGTCAACACTTATCTCCTTTTTAGATATTAATTTTAGTTCTTCTTTTGAAATTTAAGAAACATAATAATTTCCAAAAACTAGAGCAAGTCCTATATTATCTTCCCTTTATTTAAATGAGAAACATTTGTGAAAAATCAAATCTTAGTTCTGTTTCTTGGTTAATAAAGTACCAAATAATCCAAAGACTAAGCCTTATTTAGAACACAGACCGAACATGGATACCACACAGATCAAATCCCAGACCAAAAAGGACCTTGACATAGACTTAATACAAATTCCTTTTTGAAATGTATCCAAATCCAGACTTAGGAAATCCTCCAGGTAGGAATATGTTTCATAATAAATTATAGCATGGATCAAGTCCAAATCTTCATTGACCAAGTTAAATCTGTACTGATCAAATAAGATACCAGTTACAAGAAACTTTCATTGATGTTAGAAGTCAGGTAACTTCAAAACATTAACTCAAAACAAGTTATTTTACCATTGTGACATATGACATATTAAAAGCAGACAGGTGTATAGTACATATTTACAAGAACATGGTAGAGATCAGATAGACTGAAATGTCACCAGTAACAATAGCTACAATAATATATACAACATGCATATATAAGCTTCCTTTTTTTAAAGAAATCAAATGTATGTAATATATGATACTTCACAGAATGTGTATATAATGAACATTTGGAAAATATGACAATTTTGTTAGTTATATGCATGCACAAATTCCATATTTAGTATTAAAATATTTAATGAGGGTGTTATAAAAATTAAAGTTAGCAAAATTAATTAATAAATAAAATAAGCAATATGTTTTTCTGGCCCTCAGATAGCATGACAAATATATTCTTACTCTGATTTATAGAAAAAGGACTTATATCCAGTATATTAGTTGGACAAAATAGAATATTTCAGGTAAAAGAAGATAATATTCTTCCTCATAAGGAAATTTCAGTCCCATTCCCCACCAAGTCCCAGGACTCCCTAAATTAAAACACTCCAGTATATACACTGAGGCCTGCTCAATTCTTTAAAATCCGATATTGTTTTTATCCTAATGTACAGCAGCGATAATCACTTATAATTTTTCCATTTAGTCAAGAATTTTGCTTGCTGATAATACAACTCTGCCTCCCTAACTAAACAATACAAAAAGGTGATATACACACCTTTCTACAAAGGTGTAGGTGTTGAGAAACTTCTCTACCAAGGCCAAGGATCTAGATTTGACAATGAGTGAACATGAAACATAAATTAACACAACTGGTCTTTTTCAAAGGTCATTTAATACCTGTATTGTCCTTCAGGTTTGACACATAACCAGAAGGAAGCAGGTCCAATTCCTCCATTGGATCTGGCCAAATTGGTTCCCAGAAGGATGAAACTTTCAAGTTCAGTTGTGCTGTTAAATGCTACAGGAACAAACGAAACACAACACTCCAGTGGCCTAGTGTTTAGAGCATCCACCTGGGATGCAGGATGTCGTGGGTTCAATCCCCAGCCAAGTCATACCAAAAACATATACAAATGGTACTAACACCTGCCTCACTTTGTGCTCATCATTAAGAGGTTAGTGTTAGGACTGGTCAGCCTGGTGTCAGGATAATGTGACTGGGTGGGACATGATGCTAGATGTCTGCAGCATGATGCCCCATTGATAGACGTCACTATACACTGCACACTGCAGACAATATAGCAATATGACTGAAAAATTGTTATAATCTGGGCATATAATTGCAGCAGAATGCTAAACAAATACCATGAGCATATGTATTATGTCATCTCTTTTTTCCTGTCTTAGGAGCTTATTCAAGAAGTCTAAGAGAACCATTATTATGGGGAACACTGCCTGAGGACATCACCAAACTAAAAAAAAGAAAATAACTGCCTCAGGCACTCTCAAAGATAAACCATAATTATTATCATCCAGATTACTTAATACTTGCAGTCAATAAAAGATAATAGGTTGATTGTTTGAATCTGTACAATGTTTATGCTATGGACCATAAATTATAGAAATTATGCAGCATTAAACTATAGAAAAGTTTGGCTATGGTAATTATATATCTGAAGATGTAGACTGATTAACATGGGTATTATAGAGCCTAAAACTGACCTACTTACAGACTTGCATTCTTTTAAAAGGTGGAAGGAGTTTTAGTACCATTTAAAAAAGTGTTTATAATAAAAAATATATTTTTAGGCTAAATATATTTGTTGAACAATTAGCAGTGTGTTATGTGAGAACATATTAAAGCAATATAAAACTTATTAGTTTCAGAATGTTTTCATTATGAGAACTGATCTGGATTAAAATAACCTTGGTGAGAAAATTGTGAGAGTAGAAATAGTTGGAGACATTAAAAAGTACAAATTTTCATTTCTCTTAAATGCCTCTTTTCTAGATGGGCTCTGCCTTGCAAGGGCCCATTTTGGTACAGAAATAAAAACACATAAATTCCCAGATGAAAGCCTGGTTTATAGGTTCAATACATGTTTTTCTGGGCTTTTTATTCAAGTAACAGAAATCTCCAGGCCATATCCAGATTTAAGACCCCGAGTCCAAAAATGGATATGACATGAATCCACTGCAAACTAAAAAAATGTATCCAAAACAGACCAAGACTGAAACTTGATTTTCATGTGCAGTCCAAGTTTTTTTTTTATTCTGTACTCTCTTTCCAGACATTACCCTGGCTTTACCAAAATTAAAAACTTTCACTGTCACCCAGTCAGATTCAAGACAGACCAACACAATACCAAAATTACCTGACCACTTCATGCCAAAACAGATTTAATGCAGATTAAACTTTCATAAGGGTAATTTTTACAGATAGTGGTGGATCAGACACTTCCATTGGAGACCATATTTCTCAATTGCCTAGCAACCCCAAACATGATACAGCAGATGATTCAGGTGTGATTTACAGAAGAGAGGAAGTTGACAATACTGATTCTGAGGGTATAGCTTATACAGGTATGCAGCCACCTTCTTGTAACCCTAAGAACAGTCTGACAGAGGTAAGGGTCACAGGGGAGTTAAAGCAGAATATGAACACCCTAGATGGTAAGAAAGGTGATGATCAGGAGAAGGAATTCATAGGAGATTTGCAGACGAAGCCTTTTTAGCCTAAGATGTCCAGTAAGGAATGACCTATAGATTTATTATAAGTTTGAATGTCAGGAAGAACTTGTATATGTGAAAGATTTTCTTCAAGTTAATTCAAAAAGCTTCATGTGTATTGTATGTGCAGTTATGAAATTATTTATGAACTGCTAGGGTATAGATGTCCACAAAATCTCAATTAGGATAGCATTTTCAATGAAACTGATATACCTCTCTTTTGAACATTTCATTATTTATTTAAAATTCATAAAATTTATGAAATTATTACAAACTTAATTTGTGCCTGTTATAAAGTGGAAATAAATATGTGACGTCCGAGGAGGGGTGGAAGGATGCATTGACATGGTAATAAAGGGTATAACATAGCAGGTGTAATTATATGTCAAGTTGCCTAGTACAAATTCGACTAGCAGCCCACTGAAATTTCGAATAAACAGCAAGCTGCAGCAGTTTACTGATAGCTGTTTGGTTTGGCAGTTGTTCAGTTTCATAAATATTGATAAAGTTAAAGTATGTTTTGAATGCATTGAATTACAACATATAATGTAATTTGGTTGTAATTCAATAGTATAATGTTGGATGCCATTTATCTTTGACTAATTCAAGCGGTCCAAGGTCAGTGTTAAGTTCTGGGGAGTTCTTAGGTAAATATCATAAAATTTCAGTTAACATAAATTACAATAATGTCATAATATTTTAAATATATCATTAATTGTCCTATAATAATAGCTTATCAGATTTTAGGCATCAAAATCTGCAGTATCAAACAGGTGAGCAATCCCACCCCAACCCCAGAAAGGAACATTTATGAGATAACAGCACAAAGTTATGATAATGGTGATCCCTTTTGATAACACTGTTCATGGAAATCCAAAAACATACTGAGTTATAGATAAGGATGTTGTCTACTATTCAGGAGTACATTGGAAGAAAGACTGTTATTGTCAATATTTTGAATACAGTATATCATTCTTATTATAGAAAATGTCTTGTGTGCAAAACAAAAACATTACAGTAGGTTATAATCAGCAAAGAACTGAAAAGAACCAAATTAATTATTTGTAAAAATAATATTCACCAAATTTTCCATATTTCTCCAATGATAAGACCAGAGATATATATCCATCCATCCATCCATCCATCCATCCATCCATCCATCCATCCATCCATCCATCCATCCATCCATCCATCCATCCATACATACATACATGCATACATGCATACATACATACATACATAGTACCAGTGAGATGCATGATGGATGTCTGTTTCAATCACACATAATTATATTTGCAGTTTGACAAACATTATCAAATCATTTTGTGTTGAATATGTTTAAATAGTTTGCTCCCTGTTTAGTCACAACCATTTCTTACAACTTATATATATATATATATATATATATATATATATATATATATATATATATATATATATATATATATATATATATATATATATATATATGTGTGTGTGTGTGTGTGTGTGTGTGTTTTGAATAATAAATAATTGACAGTAACCTTAGACTGTCACAACTAAGTGCTCAATCTTTTCTTTCCTGCCCACAGTTTCAATATGTGTGAATTTGCATTCATGGTCTCACCTGTGTCAGTTACATTGATGAGTGATATCACACCCACATGGTTCTCTTGTTAACACTTGTATCTGATAATGGTAAACCTTGTCTTAAAGTAATTAGAGTAGACTCTTTGTTTACTAAGTGTTAACAATTTAATTGTTTTATATGTATATGATAACTATAACTTTGTAGGTGTTAAGCCAACAATTCTTCTTTCATTTTTATAAATAGCTAAGGATGAAGATGCTGACTCTCACCAATCAGAATCAGAGAATGAGCTTGCTTCAGACTTCGAGTCATCAGATGGTAATGTAACATATTTACTGTGTATAACAAGTAACAACACAGATAATGCTTCTGCAGATTAGATACTGCACTCTTGTGTTCATCATTTTAAATGAATAGCACAGACACTGACCTACCAGCACATTAGCCAACAGTAAATCAGGGTTTATGCAGTTCTTAGTTGAGTTCACACAGTATGCAGCTAAATAAAGTTTAAATGAAATTAATAAATTGTTTCCATGTTTATATATATATATATATATATATATATATATATATATATATATATATATATATATATATATATATATATATACTGAACTATATTTGATATTCTAATCCTTGATTTTCATTTTCAGTTTGAAATATATATTATCCCCAAGCATTTATAAAAGTCTCAAAATTATTGTGAAAACCTTCCATCTATCTTCTGTTCATCTATCTATTCATCTGTCTGTTGCCACATCTTCGATGTTACTGGATGGAATTTTATGACTCTTCATGTTTATGTTGTCCCAGTGATAGTCATTTTGAAAGAGATGTGATCCTTGGCTCCATCAAAAGAGTTCCTGAGAGGGGGTCAAAGATACAAACATTCCAGTTACAACATTTTGAAATATTTTCCAACCAATCTTTAAACATTTAAATTAGAACAGGGTGATGTCAGATTTATGATGAATTCTGCATTTTGACACCTGTGTAACTCTCTAGTGATGGAGAATAAGAATGGATGAGAATTCAGGTGTGATAGATATACTTGGTTTACAGTGAGAAGTATGGGAATTGGTAATGGCATACCATTGCAGTTAAAATTAGCAAAATTTAAAATTATTGCTTTTGGTCAATTCACAAATAGATGCTTTTAACCTCACACTTAAATGTACTAATATTCAGAGTAGAGTATGTTACTTCAGTATCTAACAGAAATAACTGCATGATAGATTTAATGTCCCTTTATTATAAATGATATTTTAACATTATTTATTTTTAATTAGCTTACCTAGCAGTAAAGTCAAAAGATAACTTATGGCATGGTGTTCAGTTTGACAAAAATATCTTTGCCTTGCTATGTTTTTAATATTGGATGAATGATGTTATATCAAATACAAAGAAGATAAAATAATAGAGAAACCCTGAAGTAGTTGTTTTCATAACATATGTGATCAGCAGCATTTGAAGAAATGTCTGCAGAAAGTATCCTTTTGACTCAAATTTCTTGGCCAACTGTCCTTGCATTTGTCTACAGGGTAGTTGCCTGGCATGTGATAAATTACAGACGTACTTGTTGTAGATGATGTTTATGCAAAGTTAAATTAACAATTAATTTCACTGTACTATCACTGTCATGTTTTTAATATTTTTTTATTTTATAATTTTATTTTTCCATCCTTCTGAATTAAGTAATATGGTAGAAAATTATGATTATACATGATTGGTTACTATATGGGTGTCATTTTATAGACAGTTTTGCCATAATGTTAAAGACTGCTGTAAAACTGATCATAGTGTCATTGTATG